AATAATTAATAACAAAAGCCTGGACCCAGCGAACGCTGCTACACACCCCATCTTGGAAGCCCTTGCTCAAGCCCAAGTAACTATTCGCGCTCATCCTCACCTCCCGTTTTTCCCCAATAACAGTTCCACATAAGGCTTCTATCCTTCAGCCTTCTAGCGGCCCTTGTAGTTTACCTGAAAATACCACCTTTCAGTATTTTGCAACATTGGATGTTACCGTTGTTTTAACCTTCAAAACCTCGACTTATTTTACTGACGGCACTTCCGTTGGCACAAATTGTTTTGGTGAGTACATTGTTGCACTTTTTCTCGCTCTGGTTGCTTCGCTTCCTATTTTTGTCGCCTGCACAATACACGTTTTATACAGTATCCTCCAACTTCTATACTGTCCCGTATTTGACACGGCTCTTACGTGTCATTGGCTACCGACTAGTATCACAGAGGTTGCCCAACAAGCCTCAACTGTAGGTTATCGCAGAGTGGGCACGGGGCTCGAGGTTTATAGGCGAGCTTCCGATAAGTAGCAGCTATGGATCGAGAGGGTATATAACGTTCGGGTAAATTCTGACTGTTGACCGATCTGTAACAATGTGCTTTCGTTTGTGCAGACCAATTTGAGAGAGGATCATGGGCAGCAAATAGTAGCAGTTGAACTGGACTTGTCGGTCTGACTGGACATGGGCTTGTCGACAGGGTAGGGGAGACTCTCCGCGTTTGCGTGTGAGCTGAGACTGGAAGCTAAATGCCTATCAACGCAAAATGGGAGAGGGCCAAAAACTTGGGATTAAAAATGCGGGATAAAAGTTGGTTCGAAACGGGACAATAAGCGTGAAAAATCATGAGGGTGAATAAGAAGATGAAAGGCTTGAGTAGTAGCGTAAAACCCTCTATCCACCTCGCTCGATGCAGTTGATAGAGCGTCTTTGATTATCTTCTGCGACAATCAGAGCGACAAGAAATTGTTTGAGGAAATATTATTGTTTCTGAGGTTGTTAAAAAGCAAATCGGTTGTTTAAGGGCTTATATTAAGGCCAAAATACAAGGTTCTAAACAACCGATTTACGTTCTAAACCCCTCCGAAATTATTGATTATTTGGCAATTTTAAGTTTCTTCACAGATATTGAAAGATTTATTGCATTGCCTAGATAGGGTACTGTCAGGTTGCTTAGACTTAGGCAGAAGCACAAGTATGGTTCTCAAGCAAAACTGTTGGTTCAAAAACTCGACCGGAAGGAAGCAGGGTTCTGGAACTGAGCTACAGTGAGTCTGTTTTATGGAGTAAGGCGCCACCTTTACTCCAACCCCTAAGCTGGAGGACAAGGAGACTTTACTTTTTATATTCACAGTCTGTTAACAGACATGGTGCCATCAGAACCATGGCAGAAGGAAAAATGGAGAAAACATAAACACGACATGCGATTTAAAAAATGAAAAACGATTTTTTTGATTTGTTTCCTGAGCATTTGTGTGCATTAAAAGGGGGATAAGATGGTAGAACAACATTGACACCACTGATGTCTGTTTCGGGTCATGACATCCAATGTTCCAACCACTGAGATTCAGCATCTCGTAGTCCCCAACTTGGAAGACGGACTGGTTCGATTGCCGCCAAACTTGAGGTTGCCTTCTTCATGCTTCTTCTCAACCTCATTGGCTGTCCACCGCGTCACTTTTCCAGTCGCTCCTTGAGAGTACAAACAGAGCTCGACGTAGAAGCCAATGGGCTAGTATGCTCAAAACGTGTCCAAGCCAACACATGCGATGTCGGAGAATAACGCTCTGAAAATTGGCACTATTCCTTCCAAGCACCCGGTCTCGGACTTCTGCGTTGCTTACTTGGTGTTGCCACCACACCCGAGTAATCCTTTGTAGACAGCGATTGTCGAAGACTGATAGCCGCTTCATGTCTTCCGAGCGAATAGACCAAGTCTCACAGACGTACAAGAATACTGCACGGTCGGAAGCATTGTACACCCTGCCCTTGAGCTTGCGACTGACATCACGACGACGCCATAGGTGTCTCAGTTTGATGAACGCAAGGCGGGCCTTTGCAATCCGTTGTGAGACCTCAACACCACCACCAGCCGTGATGCAACACCCTAGAGAAGTAAAGCAGAGGACATGCTCCAGCATCTGTCCAGCAATGGTGAGCGCGGGTTCAGGCATTTGCCAGTCCTGGAGCAGCGTTTCACCTTTTTCCGGAGTGAAGCATAAGCCGTACTTAGACGCCTCCATCACTAAGCGGTCCAAAGTGCTCAGGACGGTTTGTGAATCGTCCTCTAGCAGGGCGATATCATTGACGTAGTTCAAGCCCGTGACGCTGTCTCCAGGGAGGAGCTCAACACCGCAGTTCTGGACACCTTCCAGTGCTCCTTGGACGACATCTTCGTTGGCAAAATTGAAGAGGAAAGTTGAACTAAGGCAACCTTGACCAACACCGCTGGTCACAGCAAACGAAAAAGAGAGCGTGCCGTTCGACGTGTGACTGTAAAGTTCTTTCACGATGCTTACAAACTTGTTGGGCACACGTTGCTTCAGTAAACAGTTCCACAACGCGGAGCATTCTACTGCATCAAATGCTGCTCAGATGTCCAAGAACACTAAGATTGTTGACCGTCGGTGGATGTGACTGAGTTTAAGAAGTTGGCGGAGCGTGAAGATTTGGTCGATACTGCCGCGGCCTGAACGAAATCTGGTCTGTACTTTCCGGGAAATTGCCTCACTAATCGTTGAAAGCCTGCGCAGTAGGACCGACACGAAGATTTTGGATGCGACCGAGATTAAAGAAATTCCGCGGCAGTAACAGCAATCGTCGTGTGAGTCTTTCTTGTGAATCAGAAGAATGACCGATTCTCCCCATGAGTTAGGAACCTTCTGTTCAGTTCAAGCTTTCGTGAACAACCATAGCATTCCGCTGACAAGTACAATCCCGCCATCTTTGAATAGAGCCGGTGGTAGGCTATTGGGACCAGGAGCCTTTTAGTGTTTCAAAGATTGGATTGCATCTCGGATCTCTGCTTCGAATTGGGGGCCTGTGGAGACAGGCCAAATATCGTCCGTTGGGGCTGTGTCGGGTGGTTGAATTGAAGAGTGAAATACTCTGCCCAGCGACCCAATTTTCAGTAAAGGTTGGTGACCTTTGTGTCGTCTGATTCGCAAATCGTCTGGCTGATAGCGTGGGAATTTCAACCGGTGTCCATGATGATGCAAAATAGACGGCGGAAGTTGCCAGTTGATGTAGCGGCTTCCATCGCATCAGCTGGTTTTGACCACCAGGATCCCTGATCACAGAGAAGGCTTGCTTTCAGCTGTTGCGTAATAGACCGGCGGTGTTCATTTTGCATTGCGCCAGCAGGCACCGCCCGTCGGCGATCCAGCAATTCCAAGGATCTTTCCGTGCTCCAACTTTTGGAAGTGGAGCAGGCGAGGTTACAGCTGGACAAACGAGCCGAACGCGTGGTTTGTTGCAGAGTTGACCAGTATTGATCAACATCCAGAGTGGGAGAGCAGGATTTTCACATAGCCTTTGTTGTTACTCCTTCTTCACTGAGTTTGTTTGGCCTCTAACCATCGATCAATCTGGTTTGAGTGGCCCTAAATGTGCAGAAAGCACCATCCGGCATAGCGCAATAGATTGTCGAGACAGACAGACCATCGCACCAATTTAATGTCCAGTTTCGTCACCTTAGCACCTGGAACCAATATCGATCCAGCCAACATGACTGTAGCCCAACAAGCTGATCACGATACTGATAAGCTTCGACGTAACACTTTATTGAACCTGCACGAAGTTCCTCTAACTTCATCTGATGGAACTATTCTTTTGACGTCTCCCTAAATGCTCCCGGCTCCGTAGTTTCTTGGTGAATGCGTCTAGGTTTAATACATTACACATTACGTCATCTCAATATGCGTGTCCCACAGTAACTCGTGGCCGAACGTTTTTTTGGCCAAACTTAAACCGCGATGTGAGTACTTGGGTTCGCGCAAGCTTAGAGTCCGTGTGCCCAAGTTTATAGGCACACCAAATCCCACTCGGCGACTTTGCTACTCCAGACCTATACGGTTCTATGGTGTATAGTAGTGCAGGGTAAGAGCCAACTTTGACCTGTGGTCCGGTGTCCCAAACAAGAAACACGCTTCCAAGACATGTCATTTCGTCCATACATTAACGTCCGTCAGAGCCGTGTTTACGACACTCTATCCCATTTATATTACACAATACAGTCCGTTTCAATCAAAAGAGGAAATAAAACAAACCAAATAAGGTGTTCACCAGTCCTCTCCGTAAGGTAGTGGTGAGGAGACTTGTAGCAGTGTTTAACAGAATAAATTGGTGAGTCATCTATACCCCAAAATTTTCCCTTTTACTGTCATCTTTAAGCTTGGTCTCATACTATTCACTCCAGTTATCCTACGTGATCTATCAGGGACTCGCTATTTCACCCAGTATAAATCACTGTTCATTGTTCTTTCATATGTGTATATCATCTAGAACACTTTCGAAGACTAACGGTGTAGGGTCAAAGTAACTCAAACTCCTGCCTTCGCAGTGGAGACAGTGCGTGCATCTGGACCAGCTAGGTCTGAGACCGGATAACTTCTGTTACTTCTTGAGGGAGTGCAGCCCCAACATGATAACACGCCAAACTATTCACATTTAGAAGATGGCATACATTAGGCAAGCTCCGGCCGATGACTCCATGTAAAAGTGCTACTGGTTCAGGCCCAAGCATCTCCATAGTGACTTGTCATGCTGCAGATCTGACTTGTTATAACTTCGGCCCATTCTATCGATTAACACTGCTGTTCCTATTGTTATGCGTCAGTGGGACAATCCGATCGCCCGATGTACTTTATCGGCTTCGGTGTGTGTTCAAAGTGTGCAGATTAACAACGGCAAATTTCATGGCCACAAAAATACTCAGTTTCAACTTCACTAAACAGTAGGGATCGAATGGGTAAACATAAAATTCGTCTTTAGCGCAATCCGACTTGCCCTGTTTCTCAGTTCATCCTTAAGGCTGTGCTGTTCCGCCTTCGCATCGTTTGCTTTATGCGCATAAGCAGAATCCAAAGCAACAAAAATGTCCTTCAGGTCGTCCAACTGTTTAGTGTGCTTGGCAATCAAGTATTGCTCTTCTGCGGACAAATGGAGCTGTGATAATCGGAGGCACTTCGGAATTTACATACCTTCTCCGAACTCCTTCACGAGACGTTGCATTTCACTTTCATAGTCCGTCTTCAGCTTTCGAAGGCGTTCATTTTGCAAATCTGTTTGACGGATGGAAAGGGAACGCACAAACAAACCATGAGTCCACTGTGCTGAATGGTAAAGTGAAGATCGTCAGGTGTTCTCTTGTAGATGTTGCAGTCACTGCGACATGAGCACCTCGGACAGTGTAACAATGGACTAGCGGATCATAAAGCTTAAAAAGTGTAACATCTGGTAAATCTGGTCTACTGGATAGAGGAAGAACGTGAGTGTGTATACAGCTATCTCCAATGGAACTCATTGTGTATGCAGATGAGTATCAAAGCCAAGCCCATAAACTTGTTACGAATTACTCGTCATCCGAACTCGCCACACTATGGTGAACCCAGACTTATTCGAGTAACTCTAGAATCCTCCACCGACGTGGAAAATGTTTTGCTCTCCGCAAGCGCGCTAAAACACGAATCCTGTGTGATACGTATCTATCCTGATGTCCCTTGGAGCGCGCGACAACAAAAAAGAAACACCGAAGAGGGGCACAGCAAGCAAGACCGCCTAAACACAATCTTCATACATGGCGTGCCAGAACATCCTTCTAACCATGTTCAAGATACCGGAAAGCACGATTTAGTACAGTGGCGGTTCATTCGTGAAACACTTTCTTTGGATGATGTTGTGTCACTATCGCTCACCAGGATACCTCTCTCATCGAATTATAGAGGATGCGGCCCTAGAATCCTAAAACTTGTGGTTCAGTCAGAGCAACAAGCAAGGGATGTTTTGGATCGATGGCGGAGAAATCGGAAACATCTTCCTTCCGAAATTCGGTTAAAGGTCGCAAACAATTCGCACAGCTCAAGTATTAGAGCAACTGAAACAGTAAGCATCCTGACGAATGTACAGAAGTGTAACTTGACTGCTGCTTTAATTGACTCTGAAGTAGGTCTAAACGAAGGCTGGGACGCACCTTGGCCGAATCAAGTTGTAAACGAGGTATTATTGACCCAACAAAAAAACGAATAACTGCCGACCTCCCATCGGTCGGCATTCTCCCTCACTTGACAGCTTCACCTCTCTGCGGGCTCCTAGAGACAGAGAAACTGGCCTGCTTGTATACAAATGCTCAGGGACTTTCTAACAAACCCGCTGAACTGAAAGATCGCCAAGCTTCAGGCTCGTATGATGTCATTGGTATCACCGAGACATGGTTGCACACGGGAATGACGGACGCTGAAGTGTCGCTACCCGGAATGTCGCTGATCCGGAACGATAGGCTCACAAAAGGAGGAGGGGTAATCCTGTACTACCGAAACGACTTGCAGTGCGAAGCCGTGGAGGATTCAGATTCGCAGTTCCCCGACTCTCTTTGGTGTCGGTTGCAGTTAAAAGGCAGGGACGCTTGCCTTATTATCCTGGTGTACCGCGCCCCTAACTCAACATCCGAAACCGACTACCACCTAATGGCTGCTTTAAGGTGCAGTTTACAACAAAAGTACACTCACATTCTTATCATGGGTGATTTCAACGTACACATCCGGCGAACAATTCAAAACCGATTTACAAGATCTAGTAACTACTGCTCCTCTTTACAACCACATCACTTTGCCCACTCGGTTCAGAGCTGGCAACAGGCCATCTGTGTTGGATCTTGTGCTTACCAACGAGGAGCATATGATTGATGCGTTGGTTTTAGACTGCCCGTTGGGTCGCAGTGATCACGCAGTCATCAGTTTCAACTTCGTCCGTTATGCAGAATATCGGAATGATAACGATGATACTGTGCGAACCATCACAAGGTACGACCGACTCGCCCAGCTAGTCAGCGCCACAACATGGTCTTTCCTCGAAGAAGAACCCCCGGAAGTCGCCTGGCTCGATTTCGTCAAAACATTCAGTCAGCTGATTGCACAGGCTTCAGAGATAAAAGCTTGCAGTAAGTGCAAATCCATTTCTTTCGTTAGGAGCAGAACCCGAAAATGGATGACAGTACGCAACGCAGCATGGCGAGTGTACAAAGAAGCTCCAGCACCAGAAACGTGGGACAACTACGTAGCCCAACGTAACCACTGCACTCAACTGTTAAGAGAAGACAAAGCCGCCTATCAGCAGAACATCGCAAAAACCTTCAGTGCTAACCACAAACTGCTGAACAAGCACGTCAATAGCCTACGAAAGGTGAGGCAAGGATTTCCTCCACTCAAGACGGCTGAGGGCCCAACAAGAACGTCTATGGAAGCTGCAAACGCGCTGCAGATGCAATACGCCCCCACGTTTCAAAGGGTCTTGCCACCAAGCGATCTACCAAGCTTTGTATTCTGCTCACCAGGACTAACCCACATCAGTTTTACCGCAGAGGCTGTATTGCAAAAGCTGACTTCTCTACGCAAACACAGCTCGCCGGGTGTCGACGCCATTCGTCCTGAGGCATTGGGAGTAGCAGCAAACCAACTGGCAGGACATTTAGCTCAGTTTTTTCAGCACTGCTTAGACCGGAACCAAGTTCCCGCCATGTGGAAGCTTGGAATAATAAGCCCGATTCACAAAAGTGGAAGCAGATCTGATCCCTCCAACTACCGCCCAGTAACCCTTCTTCCTATACTCTCCAAGGTCATGGAATCCATAGTTGCCGATGCACTGGTGTGCTAGCTGGAAAACCGAAACCTCATCACTCCTGAACAGCACGGTTTCCGTCGACAGCGGTCATGTACAACTAATTTACTCATTGCACGCAGTAGTTGGACCGAGGCAGCCGACGCTGGAGAAGGTGTTGATGTGATCTACCTGGATTTTTTCTAGGCTTTCGATCGTCTAGACCATCGGATACTTCTATCCAAGCTGCAGCATTACGGGATCGGAGACCCTCTTTTAAGCTGGATCGCCAACTTTCTATTTCAAAGGCAATTAGTGGTCAGAGTTCGGAGCTCTTTATCGGACCCCATACAAGTGGAGTGTGGTGTGCCGCAAGGCTCAGTTCTAGGTCCACGTTTGTTTCTGGTGTTTATTAATGACCTTGCACAGGGAATCGCCTCAAACTTCCTAATGTTTGCCGACGATATCAAGATCTGGCGCAGGATCCAGGCGAACGCCGACCAACTTGTGCTCCAAAGTGACTTAGATACAGTGTATCAATGGTCGATCCAAAACTTATTGCATTTCAATGTCAGTAAATGCAAGGTGCTTTCCATCCGACATCACGGCAGCTACTCATACCGACTCGGAACGGATGTACTGCAACAATCAAGTCTCGAACGGGACTTGGGTGTCCTGATTCAAGATGACTTGGGTTGCTCCAGGCAATCCGAAAAGGCCTCGAAGACCGGGAACCAACACGTTGGGCTGTTGAGGCGGGCCTTTGGACAAATAAACAGCTCCATATTTTGACAAATGCTCAGTGCGTATGTTCGCCCCCATGTCGAATGCACAATTCAAGCCTGGCATCCATGGCTGAAACACGACCTTAATGCACTGGAGCAGCCTCAACGCCGGGCATCTAAGAACGTAACTGGAATGCGCAATCTGTCCTACCAGGAGGGGCTGCGACGACTAGGATTGTTCAGTGGAAGCTATCGCAGGCTACGAGGCGACCTGATTATGACATACTTGATTCTGCGAGACCCACATCATGTGTGCCGCCCTTTACTGCAACTCAGCAGCAATACAAACCTGAGGAGCTGCTCATTAAAACTCGCAGAACAATACAGTCGTCTGGAGTGCCGCAGAAATTTCTTTTCCATCCGTGTCTGTCACCCGTGGAATGCTCTCCCAGAATCGGTCGTCTCTGCACCGACACTAACAATATTTAAAAGACGGTTGGACGATGCACTCATCCACTTACACTTCGTTACTTAACACTATGTCTCCATCCTACACCTGGAATTATTTGTTGTTAACTGTGAGTGTTGTGAATCTAAGTGGATCGCAGGACTGCAGCGAAGCAAACGATAAGTCCTTATTTTCGTATTTAAATTGTTAACTATTTTACTATCCTTTTCATCATAATTATTATGTTAATATCCCCACCAACTATCCAACGGGGCTTGTAAAGCAACGCTTCTTAACCCGTATAAATTCATTGTTCATTGTTCATTGTTCATTTTACGGGGAAGCTGGTACTGTTTGCTTGTTCTATGTCGTCTCTCGATAAACACAGGTTAGATTATCTATAGTAGGTGACCTTTTGAATGTCAATAACGTGGGAGTAAATAATGTAATTTAACCGTGAGTTCCACATCCCTGTCACATACTTTATTCGACTGCCTAGCATGGGGCATTCGATTGAAATTGGAGAATTGGTAACGAGTAGGGCGATGCGTGGTTAGTTATTGGACGTAACATTTACGGCCTCACTGAGATCTAATTTATCTTAGGGGATGGTGTCAGCAGGTTGTGGGTGAAGGCTACTTTTTCAATTTGCTGGGATCTGAGGTCACCAGCTGAGCATTCGATACTGCTGTGGCCCTGTCAACACTAATCCAGAAATAGCACTTTTAGGAGCTTAGTTGTTGGATTCACATGACTAGCAGAGGTTAAGACGATCAGATGTAGTCAGCCAATTACTACCCAAGGCGCAAGGATCACGATAAGCTAGTAGCGAGAGTCCAACAGTTCCGGTGAGGATCGAACCTAGTCAACGACTGGATTCATTCAGCAGCAACGGATATTACAACCGCGTGTGAATAAGTAACCATTCATCCGATAGCTTTGCCCACCCACCTGTCGGCACATACCGAGGCACCACTGCTGCGTCTGGCCATAGAACGATGTAGTGTTCCAGGCACACACCCCACTCACCGAGTGCTACGCTACGGACTGCATTCAGTCGAGTGTGTGCTAGGTCTTGGAGTTGGAATCAAAATAACTCGAGCCGAATTTGTCCGATAGCTGGATTTAAAGTAGCGCAAAGCTATTTATATACCTTGTCACAACGGGGGTTCGTGTGACCAAGCCGCTCCAAATCAAGCGCTACACTGTCCACACATTACCATGAGAGCCAATCAGTGGTTTCTATAGGGAATATTTGGCAGACTCACTACACAACCCAGTTTTGAAGACGCCATGT